GCTGCCTGCCCTCGGGCCTTTGCTCGCCGTCGGGTGGTCCCTGCGCGAACCCGCTGTCCCTCGCGTCTCCCCTTGCGCTGTGACACGGCCCTCCTCGCCTTCCTGTCCTCTCCCCCTCGCTGTGGTCGCCGGGGGCATCCTCCGTGCGCTGCTTGCCCCTTCTTGTACGTGCAGGACGGCAACGAGCGGCTAGCGCAGGTCTTAGAAACTCCGGTGAGCACCTGCGTGCTTCCAAACGGTTGGTGCCTGCTGACTCTTAGGTACTCGGGAAACAATTTGGCGCTCTGGTGAGTCTGCTGGGGAAGCGTTTTTACGATGTGCAAGAGCCAAGACTTCTCTGCAGTTTAAGACAGGTGGCAATATCCGCTAAGGCTAAACTGCGCCCTGTGTAGTGTCAGAGGAGTCAGGTCAGTTTGGTGTCCGATTTCTGAACTTGGCTTAGCCTCTCCCTTCTGACCCTGGAGACTGGTAGTGTTTTCATGTGTCGCAAACAGCCGTCAGCGTACTTCTTTGACAGCGCCAAATACCTAACGCGAAATGTCACTGCGCTCGGCCGGGAAGTTGCTCATATCTGAGCCCTTCTGTGAATTGTTGCGTATTTCAGAAATACCGGTGTTTAAGTCAGTTTTGATGGAATTACTGTTGAATGCTTTTATTGTAGTACAGTACCAGAAATACTTAAGTCATTACTCTTTTTTTTTTTTTTGGGATGACTTAATATCTTCTTCAAATCAGGGCTACAAAGATATTTACAGATGATCCTAGTCATTTTCAAGAAGTTGTAACCAGCTTGTGTTCGAGCATAAATTAGAAGCCTGACAAGCTGGTACATAATATTGGGGTTTTTAAAAATATCTTGTGCTTTCTAGAGAACTTAATTATATTATTTGCAGTTACTTCTGAAAATGATTAACTAAGTTGGACTGGATAGCTTTTCAAACCTGCTTGTAACTAAAGTAGTGGAAAAAAAAAAAGAAGTGTGCAGTTCAAAGAGTTTTTAAAACAGAGGTCACTGCCAATCTTACAAGTCTTGGTTGATTAAAACTAAAATTATAATGCAGTGTCCTTCAAGGAGCGGATTTTAGTTTTTACTTTTTTTCATGCTGACTGTATCTCTCAATAGTATAATGTTGTATAGTGTTAGGGCTGCAAATGCTACAAGAACATAGTGGAGATTTTCAAGAAATATATTTAAAAACTGTAAGTTAGTTTTTTCAGTGCCTTAAATTTGTGCCTGACTTGGTCTAAATACCTGATAATCACAGTATTTTGGGGGAAGCAGAGAACTTACAACCAGCATGTGAATGTCAAAGTTCTTATAGAGCTAACTTATTAAGCACGGGTTAAGAAACTTTGGCTTAGCAGTTATTCGATACTAAGTCCAATGCTTAAATAGATGCTTTGGAAAAGCAAACTAAGGAAACTAAAATTATTCTGCCCCCAAAATGTAGTTATTTGTGGAAAGCTGAAGATCATCCTTTCTGTGTTGTCATGAGGAGGCGCTTTAATGAGTACACTCTAATATTTAATACTATCTTGGTAGATCTGATTTCAAAATATTTCTATATTTAAAAGGGGGGAGGGTGGAGAGAAGACTGGGGGATTATGTGCCTGTTTCACTTCTTGATGTAGGCTGCTCAAGAATAAGCACCAATTCATGGTTAGTTTAAGACAATCTAACTGCCCTCCCCGCAACTCTT